GACAGACACAACTGTATTAGTAATCTGGATATACACCCTTAAAGTTAGTAGTTAATTGGATCCTTGGACTTAGATCATTCACTAACCCCTTGTGAGTGGGGTCCCCTCTGTGCTGATTAAAATCATCAGGTATTAGCCGAATAAAATGGTAAAAGTGGTGTTACCACTTCTTGTGTATGGTTCCTCTTTGCGCTGGACAAAATCATCTGGTATTTGCCAAATAAAATATTAAAATTGACGTCTCCATAGTGAAGGGATGAATTAATTTTGTAACTACAGTACGCTCGGATAATTTGCGTACAGTATAGTCTGGATTTACGCGGTTTTTGTTTACGCGTTTGGTCATTTACGCAGTGCCTTGCCAGAATGAAATGTTTTAATTATGCGGTAAATTTCATCATTTGCGTGGGAAGCGGCGCGGGCAGGGTGCGCACAAGGTCGCCCAGTCATCAAAACATTACCGAGTTCTTCACCCGCCATCCACCACAGCCGGCCCAAGTCAGTGATAGTGATAATGACAGTGAGGATATGGACTTACATGAACTTTGAGGGGTTTGACAAAGAGGCCCTGCAAGCCTCTGTGGTGGATAGTGATACTATTGATACAAGTGATACAGGTGAGGGCCAATAATCTGCCCTCTGCCTCGGAACCAACCCCCCATCCCCGTGTGCCCAGCCATCTTTTCTACTAATGTAAGTGTTAAAAAACCTAATATTATTGACATTTCTCTTAAATATTAATTGTGTGTGCATACCATCATAAAATTAAGATGTTATTTTTACTACAATGTACGTATTGTGTCGGAAAATGTGTAGTTTGGTGGTCGGCCCAGTCTCTATTTCAATTAATCTCATATGTTCTGTTATTTCGTTTACGCGTTTCTCGTTTTAAGCGGACCTCCACGGGTTCAATTGACCGAGTAAATGCAGACTATACTGTATTTTTATTTCGCGGTCCTCTATTATTCGTGGATGACACCCTGGACGTACCCAAGAATGTCTGCAGGTACTGTAATTTTAAAGTTGCCGGCATTTTTGCGGCTGGGACGGGGAGCCATTCGTTCTAGAAACTAATTTCCTTTACCTGTATTGTACATACACTGTATATGTACAAAAATTTTTTAAGTCTTCTTGTGATACTCATCTGGTCTACAATAAGGTACTGTATCAAGAATGGTCTTCAGTTAATGCTTGGAAGAGGAAGAGTTTTACACCTGAAGTTTTAATCACCCTCTTCTGTTGATGGGGGTCATCATGTTTACAACCAAGAGTTTTAAAAAATTTAGTCACAAAGGACACCACAATACAGAGCTCGGCAGGGAGGTGTGGCAGTAAAATTAACTGTAGGGCGGTGTCCTTCGTGACTCAGATTTTTTAAAACTCTTGGTTGTAAACATGACGACCCCCATCAACAGAAGAGGGTGATTAAAATTTCAGGTATTGACCTTAACCCTAAACTAACTACAGTACAGGTAGTTATTCAGATCAAATTATAAGTCAACAGAAAGTGAAAAGAAAGCAAAGTCATTTCAGAAAAAAATATCTTTGATATTAAAATATTATACAGTAATATCTCCGTTAGCCGGAATCCCTTAAACCCGGAATTTCCGATAACCGGAATTTAAATTTTCTCGTAAAATCATAACCAAAGCCGGAATTTTCCAGCTTTGGGAACGATCTTCCCAAGGGGCACATTTTCCGGAAAATTCCAGGGATGGGGGGAGTTTTTTTTCCGGGTTTAAGAGATAAAAATCAGGTTCATTTTCTGGAAATTCCGAGAAAAATTTTGTTACCCGGCAAATTCCGGGGATGAGGGATTTTTTTTCGGGTTCGAGAGATGATGTCCAGTAATGGACAATTTTTGGAATTTCCGAGAGCATTTTTCCGTTAACCTGAAAATTCCGGGGATGGGGGATATTTTTCCGGGTTCAAGAAATGATGTAATGGGGAATTTCTGGTACTACTTCCGAAAACATTTTCCGTTACCCAGAAAATTACGGGGATGATGGATTTTTTCCGGGTTCGAGAGATGATAGGCAATTTCTGGAACTTCCGAGATCATTTTTCCATTACCCGGAAAATTCAGGGGACGAGAGATTTTTTCCGGGCTTTGAGAGAGTCGTCTCGTTACCCAGAAATCTCTCATTCCCGGAAGTGCTCTGCACCAATTGTTCCGGCTAACGGAGATATCACAGCAGTATTTAGTATTTTGAATTACTCACAGGAGGTCCTGGTCTGATCACATGGAGACTTGTTGAATAAAAAAAATTACTATCAGGGAAAAGATACCAATACTTCAGATAAATTATTACATCCTGGCATTTGTATTCCATAACAAGTAGGTTAAAATATATGTAAACAGACACCTGATTCTGGTTAATAGTGTAATATATTTAATTCATTTGCTATTGTGGTACAAACTGAATATTTAAGTTTATTGTTATCAAGGTCACTGGGGCAGTCTTATTCTCTATATGTTAGACATGGGCATGTGATATTAAGTCAGAGATATGATTGCACTCCTTAGGGAATAAAAGTGCTGAATGACTTTGAGCCTAAATTCCATAAATAAATCTATCAATCTTTAGGAATAAATGTGTACATAGGAACCTCTGGATATTGTAATGGTAAGTGTATCAAATAAGATATTAATATAAATGTCATAAATATTTTCACCTACCTGACATAGGAATGACAAGTGTAACGTAAAGGGCGTGTGTCCTACATGTACTATCTGTTCACACAGTACTTTGAAAAAAAAAAAAACTTTCACTGGAGACAAATGGATGACTACATATACTCTGCTTGAGGAAACCAACTGGTATCAGAGGAAGTTTATAGATAGCTTATTTATTTCAGGACTTGTATACCGTATATCACGGCCTATAAGGCGGCGGGGTGCATAAGACGCCCCCCCCAAATTTCCATTTAAAAAGTAGCTTTTGAGCTCTATTTGCTGTATAAGACCAGTACCCCAAATGTGACACTTACCCACTGACTCAGTAGTCCTTTACCAACCATCCTTGATTTTTTAAAATAAGGCCAATTCACTTCAAGTAATGTCATCAAATTATACCCGCTGGTGTAGTGTAAACACTAGTGACGTCACTGAAGCGTGTTGGGAGTGTTCCCTCGTCTCGGTGGTGTGACTATTTATACAACATGTGATTCAACAGCAACCACCGTATTCTAATTGTGGTGTTTCATTAGGATTTGAGTGAAAAAGGTTACCAGTATGTACTTACTACATACATTTATTACACATATATATATATATATATATATATATATATATATATATATATATATATATATATATATATATATATATATATATATATATATATATATATATATATATATATATATATATATATATATATATATATATATATATATATATATATATACTGAATATACTATGTACAAAAAATGAATGTTCAATGAATTATTTATGGTGCATTAGGGTACTGGTCACTTCTGATGGGCTATAAATAGCCTTCTTTATCTCCCCTACATCTCACCCTGAGCCAGACGGAAGGGTCTTGGTAAATAACATGTTTGCTTATTTTCCATTTACTTTAAATAGATTTACCGAATTATTTGTTTTATTTATTTATTTATAATATACTGTAATATATTAAACACACTGTAATTATTTTCTTTAATTTATAAACTATTTTGCGACAAAGGAATGTTCTCCAGTAGTGTTTCATTAGGATTTGAGTGAAAAAATATTACGTACTTACACAATTGTTCCTCTTACTTTGACAACACAACATACATACAGTATATTATTTCTCAGTTTTGATCTTTTTTTTTAATTTTTGTATTTATTTATAGTTAGTTACTTAAAATAAGGCCAATTCACTTCAAGTAATGGCATCAAATATTACCAGCTGGTGTAGTGTAAACACTAGTGACGTCACTTGAGCGTCTGTAATTAACCGTCGATAGTTTCAAGAATTAATGCACTCATTTACTGAATATTCTTTGGAAAAAAATAAAATTTAAATCAATTATTTATAGGAGATAAATATTATTATGAGTAAATATACCGATACCGGTATGCATTACTGACCACCTCCACGGCTCCTCACTGGCAAATGGGGGGGGGGCGTGGGGAGGGGTGTGTGATGATAGCTGTGTTTATTATAGGGGTATAAATCTCTTTTACGGTATGTTAGACAGGTTTATAATACATTTTTATTATTTTAATATACCGGTAATCTTAATTTGAATCCAGCTTGCCAAACGTAAGTTTCAGTATAAAATAATTAGTGGTAAGACCTTGTGAGTGGCTTACGATGTTTTCATCACCACTCTTGACACACTAAACCACAATATTTAAGAGGTAAGAATTTTAAACTTGGTGGTTTAGACGACCCCCTAACTTTGGGCAGATTTTTTTAATGTTCAAATTTCGTCTTATAGGCCGTGATATCTACGGTAAAGGGATTCCCAATCCAGACCCGCCAGTGTCTGTGACAATGTACCTGTACTTGTGTAAATATTCTCCCACATTTAACTTTCTACAAGTATTACACTACAAAAGATATACAAATTTCATAAACTGTAAGTATTTGCTTTATCAAACGTCTATTCTATATATTGTTATGTAAAAATAAAAATACCCTGATGCATCATTATCACAGGAATTGGCATACATCAGGATCTCCACAAACACCGTATTAATGAAAGATACACTTGGTTAGTACAGTAATGTCATACAATACACTAACTCCTTTTTTGGTATTTTCATGCAACCATACAGTATAACAAAGATGCTGAAGTAATGCATTGGTCAACTTAACACTCTTTGTTACAGTAGGAAGATGATTTTATTTACATTATCCAAATTATTTCATGCACTCATTTTCAATTCCCAACATTATATGTTCCACCCACCAAATGCTATCTTATTGAGCTTCCTACAAAGTTATCACTATATTTAAAATTGGTAATGTGCATAAATTACTCTGGACTCACCACAACACATCTAAATTTTGACATTTTTATTGTACTACTGTATTAGCACTGACATGATTCACAAATCAAATACATACAGTAAATACAAGTAAATTTCCCAGTGCTTCTTGTACATGTAAATTTTATACACCTTGGTAAGGCATGAAGCCTCCAAGTTTGAATCTTGGGCATAAGTAATTCTAATTCCTGCTGTATGGATATTTAAAACAAAGTAAAAAAAAAAAAAATAATTCATAATATTTTGAATCACATTACACCCTATTTTCAATCACTATTTCATGTTCAATGCTAATATTTTACTTCCAAAAATCAATGCTCAATACTACACTAGTAATTATTAAATGTTTTAATTGCCTGTATGTTGGCCTGGCGAGTTAATGCTAGGCATTTACATACGTAGGTATAAAGCCAGACGTCGCATTCTGGACTTTATCACAAAAACTGTTTTTTAGAAGAAAAAAATTTTCCCCTTTACAATTTCGGACACAAGAGTACAGTAATACAGTAAACCCTCGATAAATCGGCACATATGAAGCTCTGGCCTTGCTGAGTCATCTCAAATTCTGACTTATCGAGGCACTTCCCTCCCTCCTACAAAAATACAAGATTATTGACCCATATATGTGTACTGTACATGTAATTACTAAATGTTAAAAAGTAACACTTACCAACACTGCAGGCAAAGAACGAAGCATCATAGTAGGTGACATAGATGCATGGTAAGTGACACAGAGGTATGGCAGTTGATACAGGTGGCCAGATATGCCAAAAATTTTCCCAGATTATTTTATATATACCTTGGCATTTCCCGAGTTATACTATAATACATTCTGAAACCATATCCATGCCAAGTTCTATGAAATTCTGAGTTATCAAATGCCGAATTATCGAGGGATTACTGTATCTTTGTTAGCTGGAACTCTCCACAAACTGTAACTGAAAAAAAAAAATCCAAAAAATTCTCTCAACTCCAGGTCTATGAATGAGTTTCCAAAGTTGAAAATGAGGTGCAATTTCTGAAATTTTTTGGAAACTCCATTTTTTGGGGGGACTGGGAGCAAATTCCAAGGATGAAATAATGCAAAATTTCCGGAAAATTTCGAGTAACTATTTCCAATACATTGGACCCTCGCTTTATGAGCATTCACTTACCGGGTAGTGCAAATTCGAGTTGATGGGGCGACCATATTTCTACCCCTAATTCATTTTATGCAGAAAAGATTCCTTATTATGCATTCTATAGCAGATATGGCACACTAGTTTTATATTATATTATACACTATTATCTTTATTTCTAAGCCACATTAGAGTATTTTAATGATATTTCTACAACATTTATAGCATTAATGCTCCAGAAATGGTTGTGAAATGTGGCACAGTGTGAGTATGTGTGTGTGTATGTCTACTTCACTGTATGTGATGTCATGGGATGCGGCTGGAGTGGTGAGTCAGCCACTCCACACATTTTCACTTTCCACATGCTCTTCATATGTCTTCGTTTATAGTTTTATATTATATTTTATTTATAAACCACATTAGAGTATTGTAATGTTTTTTCCACAACATTTATAGCATTACTGTTGACTTTTAGTAGTTGTGGAACATATCCTAATTGTGCCCATAAGATTAAGTATTCACTATATGCGAATCCCCATTATGCTGTGTTGTCACATAGAACAAATTGCAGCATAAAGCAAGGGTTAGATGTACCTGGAAAAACTCCACATCCCCAGAACTTTTCCGGGTTTGAGAGTTGTCTCGTTACCCAGAAATCTCCCATTTCTGGAAGAGCTCTGCACCAATTATTCCAGCTAATGGGTATATCACTGAAGAAGGAATCATTTTTTGACACATGTATTCTTTATGTTGAAAAATGAGTTGGTAGTCCAAAGCAATGTGTTAGTGTTATTCAAGGCAATTATTGTTTTTTAAATTCTGACAAAATTAGTAATATATTAAAATTAACAGTATCTGTGCAATTATACACAATTCAGAGTAGATATATGATGAGAACTGGCAAGTGTTTATTGACAATTTACTTGAAAAAATATTTTTATAAAATTTTCTAAGAATTGCTAATTACTGTATGTATTCCCTTCTCACTCATGATATACTACTTAATAATTCATGTGTTACTTTACATTAATTTCATACATGTCTTTCCTCCTCTGGTCACGCAGTGGAATCATCTGACGCACCTTGTCCACATAGTCAAAATCTGTGTAAAAGAAGTAATACTGAATCAAATGAGAGTCAAACTTATTGTAGGATGGCGAATAAAATTTTTATAATTTTTACAGATAGTCACTGCCAGATACAGATGGCCCTTGCTGTACTATACTCCATAGTTACATTATGCTTATTGCCGATGAAAAATGAAAAAAAATAATAGTGGGGTTCTCATGGAAAATATTTGCACAACCACAACATCCAAGTACAAGTACTAAAATAAAACAAACACAGAATATAAGATATAATGATGCAGCACCTACACCACCAGCCCAGAGTGCACTTAAGAGTGGGAGGAAACAAAGCTTACCTATGTCTGCATAGACAATAGCCTCATTTTCATCAGAAGTGGAAATAACTTCTCCCCAAGGGTTGACAATTGAAGAGTGACCCCAAGCTATGTAATATGCTGATGTGTCACGTGCAGGAGAGATCGTTCCAACATACAACTGAAAATAAAAGCAGACGTAAGTCTTCGTATTAAAGAATATTCTACTTTACTCTCACACATGCACGGGTGTTCTCAGCCCTGTCCGCCCTCCGTGGAGTCGGTTTTATTTTTGAAGTTAAACAAAAAAGTAACAGCTTTTCATTAACCTAAACAGTCATTTGTTTCTGTCTTTGTTTAAGTTATCATAGATGAAACACCACCTCTGCTGGGCTTCCTTTTTCTTTGCTGGTTAATTGAATGACAGTTAATGGTGTGCAGATAGCTGTTGGGGATTAGCTGAATACACAATCTTGCATAAATAAATAATAGAGCATGTGAAGGAAAGGTGTTGATTCGCCCCAGGTCAACACCAAGGTACCACCAACACTTGCCCAATATACACTCCTTCAAATATAGTATACTGTACCTAATTTTCCTGACATTGATGATAACTTGGCACTTTGGAATATTGTTCAATCTCTTCTATAGATTCTGGAGATATTACCACAGAAATTGGATTTTTGTAAACATATCAAGGTCGTCACTAATATCTGCATACAGTAGCTTTATATGGAGACAAGTATAGGCATCCATTTATCTGGGGATGATACCAGTCTTGAGTGACAATGATGTAGGCATGTAAATTTATGACTAGGTCAGCTGCAGCTGGGGTGGTAGTGTGTGGACTTTTTGCAACAGCCTGTTAATGACAATACTTTTGAGGGGGTACAGTTGCTGACAGTACTCTTGAGGGGGTACAGTTGCTGACAGTACTCTTGAGGGGGTACAGTTGCTGACAGTACTCTTGAGGGGGTACAGTTGCTGACAGTACTCTTGAGGGGGTACAGTTGCTGACAGTGCTCTTGAGGGGGTACAGTTGCTGACAGTACTCTTGAGGGGGTACAGTTGCTGACAGTACTCTTGAGGGGGTACAGCTACTGACTACTCTTGAGGGGGTACAGTTGCTGACAGTACTTTTGAGGGGTACAGCTGCTGACAGTACTCTTGAGAGGGTACAGTTACTGACAGTACTCTTGAGTGGGTACAGTGGTTGGCAGGAGTCTTGAGGGGAAACAGTGGCTGACAAGTCTTGAGTGGATGACAGTATTCTTGAGGGGATAGTGGCTGATAGTACTCTATACAGTGATTAACAGTACTCTTGAGGGGGTACAGAAACTGACAGTATTCATGAGGGAGTAGTGGCTGACAAGAGTCTTGAGGGAATACAGTGACTGACATTGCTCTTGATGGTGTACAGTGACTGACAGGCCTTAAGGTCAGCCATCCTCAAATACAGGGCTTTAATGTATAGAACAGGGTGAGTCAAAAGTCTCCATACATAGGCAAAATGATCACTTTATTATGCAATCACTCGTAAGTCACAAAATGAGCTCTATGTGGGCACCATTACACTGAATGCACATACGGATGCGTTCCTCCCATTCATCGCAAATGCACGTTAACAAGTCTGGTGTCATGAGCGCACATGCATCACGAATGTGTTCCTTTAAGGTGGTCCTTGTTTTGTATCTTCATCTAGTACACCATGGCCTTCAAGTGCCCCCACAAGTAAAAATCAAAGGAGGTGAGGTCTGGGGACCTAGGAGGCCACTCCACAGGACTACGGCGGCCAATCCAGTGAGCCGGAAACTGCTGATCCAGCCACTGGCGCACGCGGATACAGTAATGGGGTGGTGCCCCATCTTGCTGAAATGTACCCAGTAATGGTGCCCACATAGAGCATATTTTGTGACTTCCAAGTTATTGCATAATAAAGTGATCATTTTGCCTATGTATGGAGACTTTTGACTTACCCTGTACATACACAAAATGGCTTGGGTTTAACACGAGGTTAACTGGATCAAATTACTACACTGAGAGATTTCTGTCTTAAGAATAATTTATCTGTATACAGTAAGTCCTCGTTTAACGTTGCCCCCGATAATGTTTCATTATAACGTAGCTACTCTTTAGATACCAATAATTCTGTTAACGTCCTGACGACTCAATATAAAGTCGTTTTTAGCATCGCCATGGACTACTTTTTACGGTGCATCACCCTCTTTCATCTTGCTGAGCTATGCTCTCTTGTCTTGGCATGCTACCTCTCACTCCAGGAACGTCACAGCGTCCCCAAGAGTCGTCAGGCTTTGTTAGGCTTCCACAGCGTTCGTGTGTGTTTGAGTGTTTTTGCTCTTAATACTGCACTCTAACCATTCAAAATGGCTTCCAAGTGCCCATCAAATGCTACTGATGCTAGTGTTGTGAAGAAGCAACATAGACCATTAGCCTTGCTACGAAAATGGAGGTTTTAAACCGGGAGGAGGAGCCACCCGTCGGGTCACAGTGACTCGCCACCCTCCTCCTCCGCTCCACTACCCACCACACACTCGCACCACCACCTCCGTCCATCAGTGAGTACAATACAAAATTATTTAGTTTATTTATTATTTTGGATGTATAATATACACTACACTATTTTCTATAAAATTTCCATTGAATTTATGTATGAAATGTATTTTATGGGGCAAAGAGAGGCTGGGGAACGTAAGTCCTGTATTTTATCTATTTCTCATGGGGAAAATTTATTCCGTTAACATTGTTTCTGTTAACGTCGCGGTTTTCAGGAACGGAACCACGATGTTAAGCAAGGACTTCCTGTATATATTACAGTACAGTATATAAAAACAGTTCCCTTACCTCCTTTCTTGCTAATTCTACCTGGACAAAAAATATAAAATTCTTGTACAAGTACTGTATCCTGAAGTATCAATTTAATGAGAGTTCAGTGTAATATTGTTGCCTGTTTTGACTTGTCTGGTTGTTTGAAATAAACATGGCCTATTTTGAATAATTTTTAAAAAATTACCCAAAAATCCTCATCATGCTCTTTTGGATAAACTTAAGTGACATTTTTAAAAAATCTTCTATTTTTTACAATTCCTTTCCCTTAAGTATTGACATATATCTTACAAACACACTGCATTTGCTCAAATTTAAACCTTAACTATAACAATAGAAAGCTGATAACATTTGATCTTTTCAAAGATACAACACTGTACAGCACAGTACCTGGTTGTCTAGGGCTCGTCCCCTCTGCAATAACTCCCAGTGAACAGGACCAGTAGTCATGTTAAAAGCTCCTGGGTACAACAACAGCTTGCAACCTATTCAGAAGGGAAGTGAACATATATTAAAAAGGATTAAAATATTATTGCAAAATTACTTGGATATAATTACCACTTCCAACACCATCTAATGGTACAATAATATAAAACTGTCTGTTTGTCACTTTACCTGACTATTATTGCACTAGACAGTCTAGAACAGAGGGAATTTCTGGATGAAGCTTCTACTATGCCAGTACACCACCCCACCCCTTCAAGTACAGTACAATATATATTTGCAATCTAGAACTACTGGCAGTCCCCAATCTATGAAAATTTGAAGTTATGAAAAAAAATTCAATGTTTCAATTCATGTACAAAAATTTTTGCACAGCATTGGAATATACTGAGGTGCTGACAGGCAGCTGTATCCACTGATGATGCCTATTAACATGTTTTTAAATATCTGTTAAGTGTTAACACACAAAATGATTAAATACAAAACTGAAATCAAAGTACTGTACTGTATATCCACAAATGAAATCATGTCACTTTTCCACACAAAAAACAGAATTGTAATGACTTACCCATATTACTGTAGACCTGTGCCAACTCTGCAAATCTTATATCATAACAGATGCCCAACCCAATTTTACAGTGTGGTAAGTCAAAAGTTGTAAATTGATTTCCAGAAGACAGACTACTGGACTCCCGAAAAGAGATACCCCCGGGAACATTGATGTCAAACAAATGGATCTGCAAAAACAATAAAATCTTAACAGCATTAATTTTATGGTAGAGTACTGGCAAACTTTGGTCACCTTGAAAGATAAGAGTACAGTACAATATATGGGATGCAAAAAGCCTTACACACTCCCACTGATTCACTTTGGTGTTGGTTAAAAATCACACTATAATACCTTTTAGTAATCTGCCACATTAGTATTACCTGTATATCCTTTTATGATTAACATTTCCCCTATGTCTAGTAGTAGTTACTGTTTACTATTATGGTACAGTACAGTATCAAAAATACATTACTTTTATGTTTTTTTGCTTCTACAATACTTTCTTTCTTGTATACATCTACTTTGGAAATCTTCTTTCTTTGCTATCTATCTGTCTTCTGTACACTATACCTTTGTTAATTCAACAAAAAAAGGGGCTCTGGGTCACTCGAATTACTAAAAACTCCAAATTAACCGAGTTCTGATAAAACACTACAAAATTATTTATTAAGTGCTCAAGACAGATCCTATGATAAACACTAACCCTTGAGAGCAATGACAACAAAGGTGTTTGAGAGATGATGAGTGTTGGCAACACTGTTAGGGAGAGCACGAATGATCAACTGTTACCGCTCTGTAAACAAGAGACTGGGAGTAAACTACAGTACAATAGCTCATCTGGGATTGAGAGTGGGATTTTTTGGGGGGAAAATTAATTAATTATCGATAATGTTTTATGAACCCAGCACCAAATGAACCTACAGTAAATAATGTGGGAATTACAGTGAAATCGCATGCTGTTGTTATAAAGGGTTCATGGGCTGATGAGTGCAGGAGGGAAATCAGCACTCCCTCCCTCCTGCTCCATCACCTCCTCTCCCCAGATATGCACTGAGTATGGTGTAAGAAAACTTTGCAAGAGGCTCACTGTAGCTTAAAGTGCAGAAAAACCCTTTTTGGAGGTAGATAAACTTAAAAGGAGGTTACCATGATGCAGGAATAAATTCTCTGAAACAAAACACATGAAATTATTTAGAACAAACAAATAGTTATGTATTCAATATGAGAATGAAGTAATACTTTGATGTAGTAAAATCAGTAAACTGTACCTAAGATTTGGAGAGTTTTAAAGCTGTTCTTCACACGAGGAATACCTACGTCAAGTGAAAAGAACACATCTGAAAATCCTTGTCTTTTTATATTTAAGAATTCTGAATATACTGCTTATCAAATATAGCTACTGTACTACACTTAACTAAAACCAAAATATTACCCAAGGATCATATATAGTATAGTATCCTGATATAACAAATAAGTGAGTGTATGTGTGTGATTGTGGGGACTAAGTGATAGTCATTTTAAACTAATGGAAGGTAACTGACAAGAGTTCCTTGAGTTCTTTTAGCAGGATCCCCAAGGGTTTGTCAGGGTTGATCTGTTAATAATCATCTAAATGATCAACATTTCTTCCAATACTGCACCGACTGCCTCAAATGGTGGGGAATTATTCTAACATTTTCTTACCTGGATGGAAGGAGCTGGGAAGAAATGGCTGAAAATCTGCTTTTAGCTAGTGTCTCAATAATCAACAACAACTGAACCATAATGCTCCCCCCAACCCCCTCACAGTGCATATGTGCAAACTAACTTCAGAAGCAGTTCCAGCTGATAAGACACAATTGGGATACTGTAAGTGTTTGAGTGTGAGTGTGTGTGTGTGTGTGTGTGTGTATGCAATAGTGTAAATCTGCAGGTAATAGTGTGTATGCATTAGTGTAATTCTGCAAGTAATAGTGTGTCTTCATGTAAGAGTACAGTCTGGGTATGTGTGTCCACAGTATGTTTGTATGCTGTTGGGCAGGGGTTCTCAAACTTTTTTCAACCAAGGACCCCTTACATACCTTGACGCATACAAATATTGTCAATAATCAAAGAATAAATCATAGTCCAAAGCATTTGTTCATTTCAAGCCAAATCCAAAATATCCTGCGAATAGGAATCGCCAAATTTCTCACAAATGTTAAACGCACTACCCTGTATTTCTCAAAAACTTTTCCCGGACCCCAGTTTGAGAATCACTGCTGTAGGGTATACAGTATAATTCGGTGTAGATAGGTTGTAACTAGGAAATTCATGGGAGTTGTCATCATGCAAGATGCACCACCCTATGTAAAATGTACATTGGCCGTGTCTGAACCAAGTGACGACGAAATTTTAGCATGGGATTACCAGGGAGGTGGACAACATGGCCTGAGTAAAGACTGTCACACTCTGGTAGCAATGCAACATGTCTCTTGGTCCCTACTGTGACCTTTAGAACAATAAATTCTCCAAATTCATCCTGATTCAATGTTTCATTATCCATACTAACACTGCTACAATCTCACCCCTTATTACCTCTCTCTAACAAATGTGTGTGTGTGAATATTTTGAGAATACCTGTACAGTACTTTGAATACATTGAGATTTTAATATTTAAATTAAAAAAAATAACTAGGATATCCTACAAACTATACATTACCGAAATGTATTGCCAAAATGTTTACATATCCTTCTTGTTATAAAAATTAAAAAACACTCGCAAAACACAGTCATGAATGCATAATACTGTACCTCCCTTCTATATCTCAGGTTTACTCCACTCCTACTCTTACAGAGGGTGGATCATATGGCACAGATATCTCAGGGGCATGGCATAGCAGTTAATACTTCATCTCTATTTGTATTTATTCCTTTCTGAAGATTAAAAACTCAATTAAATGTGACCTTTGATCCCCTCAACCTAGAATAAGTTTATGAGGTCAGAGCTTTTATAACCTCTTGAAATGGTGGCCAAGTTGTTGAGAATATCATCCTCTTCTAGTTATTACTGGAGCTCCGAGAGGAGTTCACCAGGAAATACCCGGTAGGTGATATGATTCAACACAAAAGGGCTTAATGAGTCTATCATATGCATACATAACATCATCACTCATTCTAGCTACAAATTGATTAACTGGGCCAAGGCACCAGTTCTAGTTGACTTGTATCACACTGGAGAGAGAAGGAAGGGCAGTTGAGTTACCCGTTCTGATCTTAAGGGTCACTGGCTTGTGCACTTCAGTTTACCAAACTGTAAATGTGTACAGTACCTAACTTCAGTTAGGAAAGTGAAGTTTGGCAGGTGCAGTGCAAGCCACACATAAAAGGCTTACCCCTACCCAGTATAGTGTGCTGTCTCCACAATACCCCTAATGGGCTGTCAGGCCTATGGGATCCATTTTCATATGTAGATAAGATCTGAAGGACACAGATTTGTGCAAAATTGCAAAATACAATACTGTACTTCTATGGAAACCAAGAGAATAAGAATTCTTAGTAACCCATGAAGAGCAATTTGCGAACTAAATATGCTTGAATATGCATACAGTAGTTTATTCTCTTTGCCACTGGTCGGCTCTTTAGCCGGTCAGTCATTTCTCCATTATGCACTGTTGGCAAGTACAGCACACTGGGTATGTACAGGTTCTAGAATGTACCAGAATACAACAAAATTGCAAGATTACCTAATTCAATACTAAGGAAATTGTATAAGAATTAAAATCAAATTCGTCAACAAAACATAATAAGTTTGAGTGAAATAGCTCCTCCAACAACTATTATATACAGCAAACAATTACTGTACAACCAGTCGTGGAAACTTAGAAACTTCTATTTAAGAGGAGTCACAATAAGAGAAGTAGTAAATAGGATAAGCCGAGGAGGAATCTTAAGTTCCAAACACTTGTATAAAGGTGAAATTGAATAAGATCCTGTGATACCCTCAATAAATCTTGACAAAGTGTTAAAGCCCCTTCTGTCTGGCAAACACTTGTCAGAAAGTAACATGGTTTCAACACCTATGAAAAGACACTTACCCGGTATACAGTATTGTTTATCCAATTCAAATCCTGTTCCAAGTTCAATAACATACAGTACTTTATCATACCTGAAAATTGTACAGGTATCCTTAGCTATCCTAATGGGTTAGGTTATTTGAAAGCCCTTTCGGTTATCGAATATTCGGATCGCGAATAATATACTAAAAGGGAAAATAGGGTTTGGTGACCAACCCCCCCAAAATTATTTGATATCTTGCAGCCAAGCATATCGTAAACATTATCTAAGGTGTTATACCATGCGACAATCTTTGCGACATGCTTAAATATTGTGACAACGGTAGGTCACTCCCAATCTTGGATGGACCTTCCCCCTTTTAATATGCTTGATTACTTCAAGCTTGGTGTCAAATGGGAGGATGCAGAGGGTGATGTCATGCATCCTGAGTGAAAGCACGCTCCTGTACATAAGGTGGAACAACTACTGGTACAGTACTTGACTTTCTCAAAATACTGTAATGAAAACATAAGACCAAAACACGGGTGGTGTTTAGGTGATGACAGACATGTCCACATCGATGAATGAAGTACTGTAATCAGCAGTAGAGTTCAGCTACTCGGGTGGCTGTAGGCAAGACAATTGCACAGTGCTGTACTGTATAATATGCTTTTTAGATGTTATATGTACTGTATTTGTATATCCTTTTGTTCAAAATAACACCACCAAGTTTGAGATAATCTTTTAAATGACTCCAATTATAGCTGGAAGAGGAAGCTGTTTACACCAACCCAGGAACTATTGTAAGAGACTATAAGGGTTCTAACCCCACAGACTTGAGTGTAATATGGGTCACCCATGGTCCAGAGTCACATCCTAAAACAATGCAGTAAATGTTGATAAAAGTTTTACTTTCCAGATATGACTAAGAACAGCTTAAACAAAACAGCATATTGAAAAATGTATTTTGTCAGAGAGAAGAAACAGAGGAAGTGTATCATCCACCCAATAGTGGAAGATAAAAAGTAACTTAAACCCAAAAATTTCAAAAGTCCACCAAACAAAGTTGTTCCTATAATACACATTTACTCCCTTCACAGCAGCAAAAGGTAGTGTCCAGTGTGTCTCAGAAAGGCAATGTACTGTATTATAGTATCAGGTGTTCATACCAAT